CCGAGGCCGGGGCTGCAGGGGCAGCCAGCCCCTGGCTTTGCAGCAGGAGAGAGGAAATCTCCTCTCGCCTCCACCATCTGAGGGAGACGCAGCATTGCTCAGCGCCTGCCGAGCGCTGGGGACACCGAGGGGTAACACTGAGCCCAGGGGGCTGCAGCCCTTTACTTGCCACTGCTGGGGCAAAATCCCCCCAGGGAAATTGAAGTCATCAGTGACTTGTGCAGCTGCTTGGTGGGACCCGACCTAACACCCACGGGGCGGGGAGATGAGCTACAGCAACTGCAAATCCACTGTGGGAAGCCCCTCTGTTTTCTAAACACCCTTTTCCTCTCCAAGGCAAAGAGGGGTTCAGCCTGCAACAGGCGGGTGCTTCCCACCCGCTGCCCATGAGATGCCGAGGGCAGGTCAGCACCCGCCGCTCCCAACAGCCGGGATGCACCCACGCCTCAAGAAAGCTGCAAAGAGGCTTTCGCTCCGCCCGCAACGACATCTGCAGAGCACAGCCGCGCTCCAGTGACAGCTCATTCACACACACTAGTGCCAAGGGAGGCACGAGCACGCAGGCAGGCGTCCCGACACGCACAGATGCGCAGGCTCGGCACGCGAGCGCCTGCCAGGCAGGTGGACGGAAAAAATGTGCCCAGTGCTCACCCTCTGCAAAGAGCTCTCATGGCTCCAAGCATGCTGTGGGGCTGTGAAAAGTGGTTTGCTGACACTCCTGGGCTCAGAAAGGGGTTGCCTGCTTGTTTCTTCTGCTCTGAGCCCAACTTTCCCACATTCAAATGTGCCACGAACCCTATTTCCTAGATGAATTTTGCTAGGCAGACATAGACCCGGCTTGCTGCTGGCACCAGCCCTTTCCCACCTCGTAAACACAGAGCAGCTTCAGACAAGACAGGACACCAGCACAGCAGCTCAGTAGCCGAGAAGCTCCTCTGCACGCGGCGGTCACGCTTCCCAACCGGAGGAAACCCCTCTCTGTATTTCCTCAGCGCTTGGGTCTGGCTTCCTAGGGAGGGGGACACAACCCCCAGCAAGCCGAGAGAGTGGCCCCCACTCAGATGCCTCCAGGTCTAGAAAGCAGAGGATGGTGGAGAATCCTAACACATCTCTGCTGAGGCCCCTAAAACCGGGTATTTTGCTTGCAGAGGGGTGCAGAGGCTCTCAGCAGCAATTAGATGGGCTCTACGCAGGCAAGACACGGTTTGCTGGGCTTAGCTCCAGCCCAGAGCGAATGGCTCAAATCAGGGGCTTGAGCCCCCGAGCTTTGTGGGTTTGGTGGGGTTTTGCCACACAAGCTTTACTCCTCCACTCTCTCCAGGACTCCTCTTTGTAGGAGTTGAGCCTCTGCACCACAGCGTGCTGAGAACACAAAGCCATTCGGTTTTAAATGGTCAGATGTTACAGCGGAGAGGAGAGCCACGGAAAAGCTGGGAAGGCAGCTCCTAACTGTCTCTAGCAGCGTTCCAACCTTGGGATGCAGAATCAAGCAAGCGAGAACGGTACCCCAGGCCTCGAAGCTGAAGGGGCTGGAGGCTCCAGCTGATGCCAGGAACGGGGCAGGGCTTTTAGAGGGCAAACATCAGGGATCACGCAATTACCAACTGCATCCTAATGCCCTTGCACGTGGGGCCGAATTAAGGTTGCCCGGGAAACTGCATCTCTGACATTTCCTAATCCGAGCGCTGGACTTTACGAGCAGCAGGGCAGCTCGCTGGGTTCTGTCAAAGGCCAGGCATTTCCATGCTTCACTCACCTCCCGCGTCACCCAGGGAGCTGCTCACCGCCCAGCCGATCCCAGCGCACCGCCCGGGTGCTGAGGCATTGCCTGCTCATACACAGCACAAGCTTTGCTAGATTTGAAATAATTCAGGGGCAAAAGCAAAAGCCGGACACGCAAAGCCACCATCGCAGGGCAGCTCTTGGTGCAGCCCCATCCTTCAGAGAGCAGCTGGGCACTGCTGGCACTTGGACACACGTCCTCTTTGTGCCCCTGAGTGTTTTTCACACATTTATCTGCCGTGGCAATGCACACCCAGATCCCTGCTGCAGTACCGAGGCTGCTGTCGCTCTATTATTTATGACAACTGTAAGAAAAAAAGAAACCAAAAGAAAATTAAGGAAGAAGGGTGAGATCATCACTGGGTTCTCGCAGCAAAACAGTTTTTATGCTGCCCACCAGGGAAGGCAAAAGACGGTGGCTCTCCAAGAGAGTTCACAGCTCAGACACTGAGGTCCTGGGGCAGAGCGGGGGCTCTTCACCCCATCTTGCCTACAAATGTCCCACCTGCCACCACCTTTTGCCACAACAAGACACTTCATTCTACAGAGAGGTTCCCAGTGGACACCTGGGGTGATCTTTCACTTTATAAATAAGTTTCTTGCCCTGGAGATGAAGAGTCTTTGGGGTCCCCCCCAGCAGGTTGCTGGCTTTCACACTGGAGCCACTCAGAGCTACAACCAAACTCAGTTTGTTCTCTCTGTCCGGTACAACATTTCCCCAGTTTTACCCATCTTGCAGCTTGGCTTTCAGTGGACGTTGAAGCCAAACCCAAAACCAAACCAAGCGCTGGCTTTCCAAGAAGAGTCCAGTCCCCTGCCCGCAGGGGACAGCTGGGCCAGGAGGGGAGCCCACGGCTGCACCCACACCACCAGAGGAGGGAACACGGGGCAGACAGCACAGCATCGTGCAGGATGACTCAGTTCGGGGAGGCTCTCGCAGGAAAGACACACGCCCAAGAGCTTCCTGGCCGGCCGTTCCCACACCCTGCGGCACTGACCCTGCGCTCCCAGCAAAAACGCCAGCGATCGGTCCCAGTGGGCACGAGACAAAGCCCTAACCAGGTAGATCCCCAACCCTGACCCCAAGCACGCCCACACCCTGGGTGAAGGTGTCCCAGGTCCCTTATCGCATCTCTCCCTGCTGCATCCTGGTGGCATTGCTAATCCAAACACAGCAGAGAAGACATCCCCAGGGTACCCACCTCGCTCAGGCAAGCCGTGCAGGGCCAGTCTGCTGTTCACCGCTGTAAGGAAAGGACTGCCCGGACCCAGCAGAGGGAGCAGGACCTATGCTGGTCTCCACCATGTCCAGCAAGCATTTAGAACAGAGCAGGAGCTGCCACAGAGCTCGCCCTAAGCACATCCCCACAAGACGCTGCGAATACCACGCAAGGCAAAAAGATGCAACAACTCATCTGACAACAGCAAAGCATCGCATGGCACGCATGTGTGACCCAGGCACGAGGGATACCATTGCCAAGATGTTCCTGCCCTGTCTTCACTTCTCCAGAATGGACAAGGGACAGTTACAGTGGGCACAGGGCTCTGAGGGAACATGGCCAGTCCCCCAACC